TTCTCATTTGCGCAAGGATCTGCCTAAATTAGGATCACCAGAATTTATATTTATACTAATACACTCAGGAGCATTGAATCTCAGTCACTATTTTTGAATCCGTAAATTAAAAAGAACGTTCTTGTCATTTGAGCATTAGAATTTTAACATTTGCAGTGAACAGACTGTAAAAAAATATAACATTTTTAAGTATACGAGTACTGTCTATTTTGTATACTTTACCGATATGTGCTGACGAAGTGCGCGGTGAACTCGGAACTGATGATGTGGTCGTAGTTGAGGTCCCAAGCTCGAAACATCAGACACAGTTTGCCGTCGCGTAAAGAAACCTAAATACAGGTAAAAGCTACAATGGACGATGTATCACCGATTAATTGTAAATTACGTCAGTTTATGATCTGACTAGAAACATTACAGACTTCAAAAAGGACAAGGTTCTCAATTTGAAGGTTTTTTTACTTTGCGATTTATGATTTTACGAGATTCTTTTGTGTTTGATGCGGAAAAGCTACCATTTGGCCGCAAGTGATCAACTAATTTCGCCGAAATAGCGAAGCAACAGGCCTATAATTCTCAGATTTCTAAATTCTGAAGCCTAAGTAATATAAGATATTTGTGGATTAGTGTGTTAATATACTCACGACAGCTTTTTTACTGAAGCCAACGCCATCTCTGGACAGTTTCTCTGGCCTTGTCAGCTTCGCGTACACAACACACGTCAGAACACCCGACAGACCAGTGCCCAGAATTAACTGGAATTACATCGTTACATTGTACAAAAGTTAATTCTTACGTTATTCTTACTACGTCGAAAGTTTAGATGGATGGTAAGAGTTTGTAGCCTAAATTGCTGAACGTATATCCATGTTTGGGCATTGATGTGTTTTCCCATTCTTAGGACTCAAACATACCTGCATTATAAAAAGAAATATCGATTCTGGACACTCTTCATCTATAGCACGGTCTCCGAAACCGATAGTAGTCTGAAATAACCAGAAATATAAACAGTTAGGACATTAATGACAACTACAAGACAGGCCTAGAGCCTAGTGTAGGACCATTATAATTCTTGTAACAAACTTATAATTAAATCTCTTTGAAGTTGAAGTTCCCATTTATTTTGCCCGCTACTCTGTATGAAAAAAGTATCTTTCAGACCTCAGTTACATAACTATGGTTCACTTTACTCTCAGTTAGGCCCACGCTTCGTATAAAGTAACGCTAACAAAGTTTTTCCTTCAAATTATAAACTGGGTTAAATGCGTGAGAAAATACATGGAATGAATTGAAATTAAAGATGGCCGGATTCCCTACGTTTGATCCTGTCCCACCACTGGCAGATAGAGGCCCAGATAGCTTAAAAATCACTGTGTGCCGTCAATGTTTGTTAGATAGCCTAAACTGATGAACGGATCTCGATGAAATTTTGCATAGATGTAAAGAATAGTCTGGAAGAACACATAGGCTATTTAGTTTTATTTTTTTTAAATTCCACACAGACGGAGTCGCGTGCGAAAGTTAGTTAATTATTTTGACAAGTGTTGAGGGTCTAATAAAAGATAGCTTTGTCGATTATGCGAAAATGTCTCAAATGAAGTGTCAATGTTTCCTCTATATGTTTATGAATCTTTGTATATACTCTATGGCACGTGTTTCTTAGAAGTGACTTTCTAAATAGACGAGTGACCATCAATTGGTCGTTTAAGGAAATCGCCGGCGACCGTTGTTGTGAAAGAAGAGCAATTTGCCACAATGAGGTAGATTGTAGCTTCAATCAGACGTCTTTTCCGCTCGCTAATGGACATTTCTGACGCTTCTATAAATAACATTCCGGGAATCAAACGGTAATTGATTATCTTTGCTTCGAATTTAGTTAGTGGTTTTTATCACGATTATTGTTCGCTGTCGGTCAAAAGTTTAAGACCGCATACATATGCAAAAATTAATATAATCCTATTTTACTAATATTATTAATGTGAAAGTTAAGATGGATAGATGGATGGATGTTTATTAGGGTTTGTAGCTTAAACAGCTGAAAGGATTTCGATGAAATTTGGCATATATCTGGAGAATAGTCTGGAAGAACACATAGGCTATTCACTTTTGCTTTTTTTTTATCACGTGGACGGAATCGCGGGCGTAAGCTAGTAGATAAATAAAATAAAAACATCTCCATATTCTATTGTCAGTACGTGCGGAGGACACCTATTTTTTATTATTCCCGTAAGTTTATGAAGAGGCGCACACTACTCGATTTTTAGTAGTGCAACTAAACAGTTAAAACAACAATGGACAAACAGTTGTGCGATAGTTTAGTCAAAGGTGTCCGCACGCTCTTAGGGCCTGTCCCACTAAATTGTAAAATGTCTGATAACAATCTAACGTGTAAAATATGTGATGGAAATATCGGATTTAAGCTATCTGAGCCTCTATCAGCCAGTGGTGGGATAGGCCCCGAATATCGTATATTTAAATTCATTCTTTTGTTAATACAAGTAATTGGTAAATGAACACCACAGATGGATTAATTTTAAACTGACCTGAGCTTCAACAGAGGCGAGGAATATAGTGACAAAATCCTTGCCGCCAGTAACACAACTGCGTGAAGGAGGGTCTGGCTCGAAGTCGTAGTGAGCCAGCGCTGTCACATACCAGAAGACAGCGAACACCAGCCAGATAGCGAAATGCACGATTACTGTCCCGATAACAATCCAACGCCAACGGAGATTGATCTGCAGATAAGAGGATACTTAGGTTTAAATGTCTGTTAATATTGGTTATTGAACAAAAAAACGGAAAGTGCTGCTGTAGGTTAAGTTTTAGACCAGTCTGTTTAAACTCAAAGGACCGAGTAGTTTCAAATATTATAAATGCAGTTTAGATGGATGTTTGTTAGAGTTTGTAGCCTAAAGTACTGAACCGATTTCGATGAAATTTGGCATAGATGTAGAGGATAGTCTGGAAGAACACATGTTTCTACGCAAACGGAGTGGCGGAAGCTAGACTTTAATAATAGCTTTTGATTTGATTTTCATTATGTTGAGGCTGTTCTTATGTTAAAGTTTTTAAAACGCTGAAAATGTACTTATTAAGTAATAAACAATGTAAACTAACTTACCAATGTATGGAACGCATCATTAAGCAATCGAATCTTCTCGAAGGGAACGTTGGAAATGAGAGCAACGTTCTCGACGCCATTCTTTGAGACCAAACGTTTAGGGAAATCGCCGTAAGCAGTGCGGTTGCGATAAAACGGCTGATGTTTTGTACTGGAAATTACATTAAAAAAAGGATTCTATGATTAAATTCTTGTTTTTAAAAAACGAGTGTCTTCGCAATAACCCACGGATAATTTGCGTTGTGATGCGTTTCTTTGACAGCTAAATTAACAACCATATTTTTAGTTAGTAACCATAGAAAATAACAAAAATAACGCACAATAAGTACTAATATTATAAACTAGCTTTCGCCCGCGACTCCGTTCGCGTGGAAATAAAAAAGAACAAAAGTAGGTAGCCTATGTGTTCTTCCAGACTATCATTTACATCTATACCAAATTTCATCGTAATCCGTTTAGCCGTTTAGGCTACAAACTGTAACAAACATCCATCCATCTAAACTTTCGCATTTGTAATATTAGTATGAAATATGAAAGTATGAAAGCGAAGATTTGTAATTCTGCATGTAATAACTCAAAAACTACTAGACCGATCTTCTTACATCAATAAAAAACTACGATATCAGTGTACATAGGCTGTATTTTATTATTTCACGCGCACGAAGTCGCGAGCAACAGCTAGTTATTCAATAAAAAGATTTCTATAGATCACTTTTACTTAAGGAATTAAGACATTTAGTGTAAATGACGCGAATAAACTTAAATAAACAAGAAATACCGTTAGCAAATAAACGCATTGCACGAACACTGCGACAGATGTGGTTAAACACAAATACTATAAAATGACTAATTTCTTACGTCAAAACAATGCAGTATGTGGTTACTTCCTTTTGATTATTACCTTAGAGAGTTGTAATTAAGGTTACTAAATACTTTACTATTTTTTTTATAGGCGAAAGTTTAGATGGATGGATGCTTGTTAGAGTTTGTAGCCTAAGCGGCTGAACGGATCTCGATGAAATTTGGCACAGGTTTAGAGCATAATCTGGAAGAACACATAGGCTACTTTTTATCCCGGGAATTGTTACGGTTCCCGTGGAATTCATTAATTTAGTTTTTTTAACGTTTACTCGATCATTCTGCAATGGTTCAACATATCTTATTGAAATTTGGCACAGATATAAAACGAAGTCTGGAGTACGTATGAGATAAAATTCATCCCCGATACGTAGATTTTTGTTATTTTTATAGTTCATATGTTTTCTAATATCAGGCGGACGAAGTCGCGGGCAATAGCCAGTTGTTAATATTACTAATGGTAAAAATGCAAAAGTTTAAATGGATGTTAGTTAGAGTTTGTAGCCTAAACTGCTGAATGGATCTCGATGAAATTTGGCATAGATGTAGAGAATAGTTTGGAAGAACACATAGGCTACTCAATTTTGTTTTTTTTCTTATTTCGCATAAGTCGCGGGCAACAGCTAGTTAAATAATAAATTAATAATTAATAAAAGGCTACGTACTCATTTATAAATCTACAACTCTCAGGTGGTTTCTTTAAATAATTCTTCACCGGTAAAAGATTTTCTACTAACGGTTTTTCCTGGTCACGTTCCAAATTCAAACTATTATTGCTCTGTGTTATTATAATTTTAGGTAATTGTTGCGACAATTTCCTTAACCTCTCCGATTTAGTTTCACTCGATAAACTTTCCATCGATTTTAATTCATTGATAACTTTAAAACCGATTTCAGGCTGATTTTCTTTTTGTACATCTTCCAATGATTCTACAGTTTCATAATCGTCATGACCACTTTGTACACTTTCTTCGCTTTCCGATTCATTGTTATTCGATTTTTCTAAATAATCGAGACACTCGTCGTATAGTTGATTAAGTTTTATATAATCGTAATCGATTTCCAACAAAGGTTCAAGAGCCATATTTTAAAATCTAATATTATTTTTTCTTTAACACTGATTTATTGCACTTAAAAATAGTATAGTTTTATTCCTTTACACTTATTTAAAAGCACATATTTATCGTATTTCGTAGGTTATGTCTCAAAGGCGTAGAGACGCCATGACAGGTGATTCTTGCACGATATCTGAACGTTATCTGTGTATTAACACATTCACAATTATGTGAACAGCCTAAGCTGGTATGACCTTGTCGGGATAAAGAGGTCATTCTGCAAACTGCAAACGAGGATAGTCTGGAAGAACACATAGGCTATTCACTTTGTTTTTTTTTAATTCCACTCAGACGGAGTCGCGGGCGAAAGGTTCTTGAATAAATAGAGACAGCGTTAAAAGTGTTATTCCAGTTTAAAGTAACTGGTACTAACGGTTTAAAAATAAAACAATTTAATTATGAAATGTTTTAGTTACGCAGATTGAGGTATATTTATGAAGGTTTCATGTGTATATACGGCAATAAAAAGATTATTGTCTGATTAAATCGAAAAATTCGCGTAAAACAGCTAGTAAAACTTTTGGTGGCAATTGTGTTCAGAGATTTATCTCACAATTTTTTTTTATTCAACATTTGTTTACTGTTTACTAAAATTGCTTGACACATCAATTAAATTTCGAGTTCTAACTAAAATGGTTGCAGAATAACGCTTGAAGAACGCTCGAGTTTGGTATTAAAGTTACCGGTCATCCGCTAAATGCCTCGTACTGCTTTATGATAGTTTTCTGATATACTATCAGCTATCAAACACGCAAAAGAAGTAGTTCTAAATACTGCAAGACATCTGCAAACACCCTAGTCTATCTACCCCTTCTAGGGTTAACTGTTAAGAGTTAGCTGGATTAAATCGCCTTTATCAGGAAATAACTTTTTTTTATAATATAAGGTAGCAAATGAGCAAGCGGCCGCCTGAATCCACCGAAATGGAAAGCGACCGCTACCCATAAATATCCCCAATTGCAGATGCGTTCGTACCCTTAATTGAAGGAGGAGGAGACGCACTTAAAGTGGACATTTCCCCTTCCTAAACGTCTCCTCCACCGTCCAATCTACTTTTCCTTCCCAACTTTTCTTCTTAAGAAAAGGGTGGAAAAGGAAAAGGAAAGGGAATAAAATTAGGCCTTCGGCACCACACGACGTGCGGAATTGCTCACACTTCACGCCTGTCTTTTGTGTGGTTATGGTATTACACCGGGCGTGCGAAGATGTTAAAGCGGGCTCTACGACTGTTAAAAATTAACTTTATACGTAGTAGAAATTAGAAATCAGTCTTGTTTAAAGTAATACAGATTTTACGGTGTACTGTCTAAATGCGGTTTGAAAAACATACGATAAAATTATTCTATGTCAATCTCGAAGTCATCAACTTGCCCTTCTTATGGAGGGTCGGCACAGTGGTCTTCCATACATCTTTATCAGCCGTCATATCTTAATTTACAACCACTTTCACACTATCCCTCCACACTTTGGATGGACTCCAATACTTTACTTATACCTCGGAGTACCAAAAAAAATATTTTGTTCAAATCAAAATTTTTGAACAAAATTTCGTTTTGTAATGAACGTTTTAAGCTTCTATATGTTTATTTACTACATTATTATGTAAAAATACTTACTTATTAGGAAAAGGAATGTCATACGTTTAATATTTACAAATTTAATTATAGTTGAATCCTACGTTATCAGCATTATCAAGACGGAAGCTTAGTCTTGTTACTATCAATATTTGTCATGTCTACTTGCGTAGTGGTAAATAGTTTTTTAAAAACATAAAAGAAATTGCATAATACCTTGTCCCCTCGAAGTCTTTTTGACCGACTTCCCAAAAGAAGGAGGTACTCAATTCGTCGATATATATATTTTTTTATTTTTTTTTATGTGTGTTACGGCATAACTCCGCCGCTAGTGGACCGATTTTGATAATTCTTTTTTTTATCCCAAAGGTAGCACCGACATCAAAGTAAAAATAATTGTACAATATAGACATAAGAGCAACAATAAGGGAGGTTTACTATTTTCAAGGAATTATTTCGTAACTTTTTAGTGTACTGTTTTTTTGAGAATATTTAGTTTTTAGTGTATTTTGTTTTGTTTACTGTAAGAACGTCGGGGAGGCCCTCACCTCTGATTAAACTATCGCACAACTGTTCAGTCTTGCTTTGATTCCTATGACCTTATATGGAGGTGCGCACAACAGTTGAGTCAAAAGTGAGCGCCTGCTCTAAATGTAACATTTGAAATTCGAAAATCGAAAAGCATTGGTACGTTGGAATACCAACCTTGAGGCAGTATTTTTGTATACAGTATAAAAAAAACGCGTAACCGCTTTTTAAACATTTATTTGTTTTAATAATGGTATACATAGAGTTTAATAATATAAATAAGATAGAGTTCTTCAAGATGTTGGCTTGAGTTTAAGATAGGCTGTAGAGTTTAAAATGTACAGACTTGACATTACGTCAAAAGAAACGCAGATATTAATCGGTTTTGAAAAACATGTCTGTACATATCAAAGCCCTTTACAAGATTTGGATTTTGTTTTTTAAATAAAGCATCTATTTATAAGCAATAAAATTATAACATAATAAAATAATTCTTATTAATAGTTGGGGCAAGATTTAAATTCATTGGATTTTAAATTGTAATGATTTATTTAATAAAAAATGTGTTTTTAACATTTGAATATTTAAATATTATTTTATACACACTTTTTTTCTAAACAAACATTTTGCATAGTTAACATTTGTAATAAACACCTTACGAACTAATACGTTTTTTTTATTACTTCTTGTATATCCTAAACGGCAGCAATTAGTAAAAATTAGGAATTATTAATAATACTAGAGATATGTTATTGACGTTTACTAACGATGGCAGTGCGCGATGGTGAGTCTTTGTCATTAAAAAAACTAAAGCTATATTCGCCCTTGTCTGACATCAAGCATTCTGCTACCTCTTTCACACATCAAACATTTGAACGTTTCGTTTCTGTTTTATATTTCTATGGAAAATGTACTAAATCTAATTATTGAAGATATTTGGCATCTACTTGTAATATAATTTTTATTTTTTTGGGGTTATATTCTGAACAATGCTATATAAGCCCTATTTCGAGAATTTCATTTAATGGCACTTGATTACATTTTGTATTTTAGGATGAATTTAGTAAACTAGTAGTATCTGTGGCTTTTTCTATTTTTAAATATGTATTTGATGTCTAACACAATTATAGGTAACGTTTGTATTTCAGACCTTTAAAGTTTCCATTTTAATAACCTAAAAATAAATATGGATTCCTAATCAAATAAAATCACAATTAAATGCACTTCTATTTCAGTAATAAAGAAAGGTTAAAGGTACTATTCAAGTTATTTCAACGTAGTGTTACCATTTTTTTTTTAAATAATTTTATTATGTCTACTTATATCTACGCAAACTACACTAAATTTAGTAAAATCTCTCACCTATATTAACATATTACACCTATATTAACCTATATTAATATATTACGATAACATTATCCATTATAACAATTATTACATTATGTTTTAAAATAGTTGTTATTGTTTATTTTAGGGTTCGCAATACTCACCTCGACTGATGCATTATTGTTGGCCTGCGGAGAGGCGTGCGGGGAGCAAACTGTGTCGGTTGCCAAAGTCCGCGTTTCAAGGTCATCAAAAATATGTATTAACCATTATTAATTGTTTAATTTTAAATGGACATTAAAAATTTTATATATTCTGTTAATTTTAAAGATTTACTTTGTCATTTTTTAGGTTACTGTCACCTTATCTTTAAATAAAAAAGTAACGTTCTTTTGTTTTAACAGCTCCGTATATTTTTTAACTTTTTTTAGTGGTAATGAATATAAAGGTTAATTTTGTACTGCTGGTTGATGAAGATCTCTTAAAAATGTAATTTAAAACTAAAAAGAAAGGTCATAGAATAAGTAGAGTGCAGTTCAAAGAGTAAACAATTAAAGATGTTAATTTAAGTAGAATAATAATTTTCATTAAGAAATTATTTTTTTATAAGGTTTTGTAAGATTTTTTTAAGATTACAAATTAAATGCCGAAAATAAATTTCACAACCTTTTACATTAAATACAAACAATCGAAATTCGACCTATTAAATCATAACGATAGTAACATTTTTCGTTAAATGATATGTACGTGATTTTCTTCACTATATAAAAAGAAAAAACAAATAAAATAATTTTGTGCTTCAAACATTTCTTTAAGAAAAATAAAGTAGTAAGTCATAAATAATAAAGAAATCAAAGGTAAAAAAAAAAACAAAAATAAAAAATTAATTGTTTATTTTCTAAAAAAAAAATATAAATCTACACAATAATAAAAATTATAAAGAAATAATTTACAACAGGAGTTAGACTTTATATATAAATCACAACAATGGATAATATTTAAATGTACTATAAATATCTTACGAAAATTTTGGTTCTATATACTTACGTCATATCTGATTATTTTTTTTCGGTTAAAAATCGAAACAAAACGTATGTAATCTAAGCACAATAAGTATAATAAAATTTACACTAAATTACACAAACTATACGGTTTATGGAAAATCAATAAAAAACGAAAATAAAAAAGTTGTGCTTTTTTTCTGAAATATAAAATAGCTTTTTTTAGACAACTAAAGAGTAAAATGGCATGAATGGCATGAAACATTATGTATCGGTTTAAAATAAATTTTTAATACACAATTTAGTACAAAAGAAAAAGTTTAATCTCATAGAATAATATAATTATTGCTTTAGTCTATGACAAATAAAAAAACTAAACGTCTTATTCTGCGCGCCAAAATAATTAATTTCAAAAATGATAACCTCAAAATTAACGTATGTTTATTTTAATATTTTAGCTTTGGCATAATGTAAATATCTGTAATAATCTGTATATGAAAATATACGCAAGTAAATATAGCTGGCTATATACATTATGTACGATCGTGATATTACTATAAAATCACATAGTTATACTTAAAACTATAGTCACCGTACAATTTCGATCTTATACCATTCTTTTATGGCACAAATTCGCTTGTACCGCTTACATGTTCGGTGCTCCTGTACCTAATATTAAAAATCACCTTTTGGTCAGCCTCACACATAAATGTCCCTTGGAGTTATGTGCCTGTTGCTGAAATAAAAACAATAAATATATTAAAACATTTTTATTTATAAAGTAACAAGATTAGTAAGATTACTGATATTATATATGCAGTTTAGATTAGATTATTCCCAACCGTCCCCCCGCTGTCACCACGTGAGTATAAAAAATTTCATCCGTCCCACCTTTTGCAACAAGGGGACTGATGGTACTTATTTTACGATTCCATCTGTCACTCTGTTGGTGATAGTGGGACTAAAACGTGGGGACAGCGGGGCGACGGTTGGGAATAATTCTTTAGATGGATGTTGGTTAGAGTTTGTAGCCTAAGCTGCTGAACGGATCTCGATGATATTTGGCATAGATGTAGAGTATAGTCTGGCAGGACACACTTGTTTTTTTTAAACCACGCGGACAAAGTCGCGGGCGAAAGCTAGTATTAAGGTGAATATGTTATTCATCGTTATAACAGAGGGAAAACGAGGAAGTTATTTTCATATTGCACATTTCGTTACATGAGTGAGAAGAAAGATATAATATTCAAAGCGATAGAGTGAGATAGCATTACACGAGACGTCACACTTCATTTATGAATCATTTTAAAAGCACACCTGTGACTAAACTCTCGCACAACTGTGATTGTCGATTGTTTCGCTGCCAATTCAACTGTTTAGTTCGTAACATAAAACCGAATAGTGCCGTATCTACATATAACCTCGGAATCAAAGGGCGACTAAGCGACTAAACAGTTATGCGATATTAGTCAAAGACGTGGACGCGATCTAAAGCAAAAAATTACCCTTTAAAATGATTGATATGATTATCGTGAAGTAAATAATAGATACAATAAGCAATAAATGGTAAATAATTATTAAAAAGCATACCAATTTAATAAAATACGATAATATTCGGCTACACGTCACTAGTGTACCTGCAAATATTTGTTACTATTGAAAAGCAGAAAATGGAACCTTATCCCCTTTGATTTAAGATCGATTATGCGAAGCTATGTTTCAATTTTTAGGTTATGATAAAAATGTAGAGACCGTAACCCTTTTGCTAAATAAGCATTTAATTTATTTCATATTTATACTAATATAATAAAGCGTAAACACATTACTTTGTGACGTAAGATGTCAGCAATCACAGCTTATTTTTGAATAATTGTTTCTTTAATAAAAACCCCAACACTTACAACACGCTTTAGGTTATATATTTTCACGCTTTTAAGCTTAGGGGGTAAATAAATTTAAAAAAAAACCATCATATGGGAACGATAAACTACAAGCTGCCAACATTTAAGAAGCAAGGTTATTATTATTTTGACATTTGCAATTAAGAATTTGACAAATGTAAACATGACTTTTTTTAATAACTTTTTGTTCCCGTGCAGCTTCATCTGCATGAAATTATGAAAATGTTATTTTATTGTCTACATTTGTCAAATTATTAACAGCATATGTCAAAATGACATGACATGACAAACGTTGGCAATCTTGCTTCCTTGATGTTGGCAGCGACTTATGGTCTCTTTCCTACATTAGGGTCTTTAACTAAAATATTTACCCCCTAAGTTTAATGGCGTAAAAATATATAGCCTAAAGCGTGACGTAAGTGTAGGGTTTTTTATTAAAAAAAGAATTATTTAAAAATATGCTGACATCTTAGGCAACAAAGTAGTGTGTGTTTACGCTTTATTATAATAAATAGTATAGAAGATTTCATGCGGATGAAACCGGACGGAAACAGTTAATTTTAATATAATGCCATAGACAAGACATAGTCAAGGAGTTTTTCCCCATATGAGAATTTGTGTATGAAATTGATTGATTGCATTTTCAATATTGTTATGTGTCATTTGTGTCATGTATGTGTCATATTTACCTATTCCTGGCATCAGCCTCATCATCCGAGTCAAGGCCATAGCCGTCATCTGCTAGATAGTTTTTGTTGGCATAACCGTCCAAGTCAACTGAAATACGTATAAAATAAACATGGAAATAGATTTTTTTACAAGAAAACAATGTTAATGAATGCTAGAGGAACATCTTGCAGCACGCACATCTTTGACCAAACTATCGCACAAATGTTTAGTCTCTTATTCTCGTATTCATGCGCTTATATTGAGGTGCTACTCGATTTTTAGTTGTGCAACTAAACAGTTGAATTTGCGAAACAAACGACAATCGCACAACAGTTGTGCGATGGTTTAGTTAAAGGTGTGCGGACGCTCTAAGAATAACCAAAATCTCACTAATATATTAAATTCGAAAGTTTAAATAGATGTTTGTTAGAGTTTGTAGCCTAAACTGCTGAACGAATTTCGATTATTGTCATAGAGTAGTCATAGATCATCATAATCATAGAGTAGAGAGTAGAAGATGTCTTCCAAGCCTACGTAGGTCATTTACTTTTGTTTTTTAATTCCACACAAACGAAGCCGCGGGTAAAAACTAGTTTATCTTATGTATTGATTTTTCATTGAAAAATGAACTACATGTTGATAAGTATTGTTTTTTACAGTAAAAAAATTTTTTACTAGTCTCTTTGAATCCCAATAGTCCCTGTTTCCTTAGATCGTAAACGCTAAAGCAGTTAGGTGAATCTTCTAGAATCTTCTAGGCTTACCTCTGGTGGAGTCAAGGTATGTATTATCCGTCCACTTGTAGTCGCGTTCAGCGTACAGCGGCGGCAACGTCTGGTGAGGTGTGGGGTACAGATCCAGGCCGCGCTTCTCCTGAACACTGTCGCTCTCGCTGAACCTAGGCATCCTGTAGAGATACTAATGTTGGAAGCCAGCTAACTTCAGGATACCCGCTATGTCATCAGCTATACGTCCCCACTGAAGGGAGCATACCCCACGCGGTCTTAGTCTACCTGCATTGCGTTTACTTCACATATATCTTTGTATTTTTTCACCGATATGTATGTGCATCACGATGTTTTCTTTCATAAAATTCGAAAATCACATTGGTACAGCGGGATTCGAACCCAAGACCTGTGATTACAAGTGCTTAAACCACTGAGTCACCGATGCCCTCCATGTATAGTCGGAAAATTTGCCTCTTTCATTGCAACGAAACTCCACCACTTCCTAATAACATTAGCAGTGAATGCAAACGTATGTATAATAATAAAACACTAGCCGTGTACCTTGTTATGTAGATTTATCAGTTTAAGTGCAGAAAAATATCGTGATATGAATAAAATAAAAAAAAAATGTATAATAATTTAGCAGTGGTAGTGCCCGCTTTAACATGTTAGCAGTGCAGGGCTCGCCCCCAGTAATACCACGACCACACAAGACAGGCGTGAAGTGGAAGCAATTCCGTGTACAGTCTGATGAGTGTGGTGCTGGAGTCCTAATTTTAGTCCCTTTCTCTTTACCACCCTTTTCTTATAAGGAGAGGATGGGAAGGGGAAGTGGATTTGACGGTAGATGAGATGCATAGGAAGGGGAAAT